GAAGCCTTGGCTCAGGTTTCAGTTTAAATGCCATCGGCCACACCTTCCGCCGACTACAGGAAACTGCGATTGTTAAAATCAGGGCATGTCCCTATTTAACTAAAAGGCTGAGATCAAATAATCCAAAGGCCTCGACTACGCCAAACAAATTCCTGGCCAAGGCATAGCAAGTCTGTGCAGCTGTAAATCTGTAACCCCTCGACCTCAATATCCGTGTAAATGACGTCTCGGCACATCATCTCGGGGAGCGGTTGGTAATAAACAGAAGGAGCAAAGAATCGGGCAGAGGTGGACGGGGGAATGTAAAAGTTAACAATAATAACGCTTAGCACAACGTTCTTCAGTTTACCACCCAAAAGTCCCGAAAGTTCCTTCAAAATGCACAATAGTAGGTTTTTCAAATGCTGACGTGGGACAGCTCACACAAAATGTGAAATTTGTCAGCGCTACCTCTTCCTCACAAAACGCTCGCAACCTCAGTGAAATGATGTTTTCCAACAAAAATCTATTTCAGCACAGAATTCCCAGCCAGCTCCATTCAAGGACCATCGGCAGAAACAGTAACACGACAGCCCATCTGCCAGGACTGTTTCCCCAAACCCTCTCACCAATCAGAGGGTGATTAATGTTTAAAATTTTCTTTTAATCTGAATGTTGTACTAGTAAATGGTCCTTAAAAAAAAAAAAATCCTACTTAATTCTTTGCTATAATAAAACAATTGTCTACACTGACCACAAATAAAGAAGTAATGTTAGTTGTTACCTACAGGAACTGGTAAGTTTTTAACGTTTGTTTATTTAAAATTGATACAATTTTGCATATGGGAAGGCTGAAAAACGTTAAATAATTTGACCCACATTGTATGTGGAATCAGGGTCAATGCTGATATGGAAATTCGGGAGTTCCTTGCTCCCAGATTTTACTCAAGTTGTGCCTCTTGCTTAATTATAGTCCTTATTGCACAGAAGGCCCCCAGTCAATTAGCAAGACGTAAACGTCATCTGAAACAGAAGCTGCCGGAACAGTGTGGCTTTGAGAGGAAATCGATAGGAAATTATTTCGAGGAGGTACTTTCTTTCATTTTTCAAAGAAAAGCAGAAATAAGACATTGAAGTCTTCCTTCCATTCGCACATGTACACGCATGACGACGACAGAGAATCCGTGGTTTTGCAGTGCTGTCCTAACAAGTCACCGGGACATGCAGACTTCCAGGAAACCGGAGACTTGCAACTCCAAAATAGGAGTATTTGCTAACACAGCTACCAAAGTCCATGAAGGGATATTCTACGTGATGTACCACGCAGCAGGTTTTGTTCCACTGTGACAACAGAAAAGTTACAGTCACAACAAACATTTAGGTTTAGGTTTTTTTCAGAAAGGTTTATTGTTTGCCAGACAAGTTTCGTTAGCGAATGCCAGAGAAATCGCTTCTGCAATATTTTCAGCACTGCCTATTCTTTGCCAGCCCAGTGCATACACACGCTGTTATTCTCACCGGGGTCCCAACCCACAGGAGGAAGAGCAGGCAGACGTATAAATAACAACAAAAAACCCTTCTGAAACAGTTTTAAAGGTGATTCCGTCCGCCTGCTTGGGTCTGCACAACTGACTGTGCGCAGAGATTGGGGTGGGGTTTTTTCCTAGTCCTCTTTGGTGGTGGTTCAAGGGAAGTGGATGGAATAGCTGGTGTTGAAATCAAAAGACTGCAAAGCCAGAGGTGTGGGTTCGTTCCCAACAACTGTTGGGGATGTGCTGGCATTGGGTAGTCACATTTGCATAAAACGCTTGCATTCTTCATGCAAGCCTAGCCCACACAATAAAGCAGGCACTGAAACGGAAACCTGCAGGTGAAAACCTAGCCCTCCCTTTGAAAAGCTGGAGTCCTGGAATTTGCCCTGTGAAGTCTAAGAAAATCCCAGCTGGAACTGCCGAGATCCTTTCCAAAGAGGTGGCACCACATTAACATACAAGCCGCTTCAAAGCAGAGCGTATGCCCTGCGTTGAAGCTGGGTTCAAGGTATTTAGCATCCTCAACCAACAGCTCTGCTCACTCTGCTTGCTGTCTTGCAGCGTTCCTGGTCAGCACAATGACAGAAACGCTGCCCGGAGGTCGGCGTGGCGGCTCCCCCGGACCCCCGGCCGCTCTGCCTGCGGTGGGAGAGGGAGCAGTGGCAGCCAGGCTCCCCGAGCTGCAGGTTTTGCTCAGTTCCAAATCTAAGGAGCCAACAGCGCTGAGACAAAAGTAATTATTTCAGCTATTAGCTGCTAAGAATAGAGCCGGCGGGGGTGCTGTGCATGGCTGAGGTGCACTGACAGCACAGTCGGAGGTAGCAGGGATTGCAGTGGAAGCACAGAAATAGCCATTCGCTACGCTCAGCACTTTGAAGCTTCATGAGTCACCAAAATACACGGCGGGGGGGGGGACGGACAGGTGGGGTGTTAGAGGAAAATGCACCCTGCCCCTACGTGTCAAGCAGAACATGCCCCTGGGCTGATCGCTGTATTTCCTGGGAGAGAACAGCGTTTTGCTGAGGAGCCTGTTTTCTTCCTAAGGAGAGCATCTTCCCAGTCACGAGGCAGTGGACCACCCTCACGCTTCCCACCCATCGGAGAGCACGGCTGTAGCAAGGAAAACTTCAAATAGACCTGATGCCCGTACGCTGCTTAAAGGTACTGTTCCCCTGCCCGGGGAGGGACACGGCCCTTGGGAAGGCACCGGGGCCGCTCCTTCCTCCCACCGCCCCGGTGCCTGGCCCCCCCGGCCAGTCTCACCTGGGGCATGAATAGTTGCAAAAGCCAAACATTACCGGGGGCGGGGGGGCAGCGGGATGGAGGAATCTATCGATCTCGAGCCAACTGTGTTTCACGGTGTTTTCCTAACTAACTGCTTATCTTACTTGAAGTTCCCTTTACAAATAATACATTATAAAAGGTTAAACATATGAACAGCAGATATTTAAATACAGGATCAGTGAATGACCAGGTGCTCAGCTGGCTGTTCATCGACATCTTTAACATCTTGTCCTGATGCTATTTAGCAAAAATCGTACTGGTATCACTACATGTTTTTACTCAATATAGCTTGGAAGAGGCGCTTTTCCTTCCGTGCTGGTTGTGCAGCCCAGGGTACAACACATTCCTGATCTATGACTATGTTTCCAAACTACATAGTAAAATGAATAATAATGATAGTAAAAGTTGTACAACTTTTTTTACGCAGCAACCTTTGTAGTGCTGGATTTTCCAGCTATTGTACATGGGGAAAAAAAGTTATTTTGTTAAAACCACTGTGCCCAGCCAAAACAAAACCAGGGTTTAAAAGAAAATTTTCCTATCAATCCTGGGTGCAACTGCAGAAAGAGTCAAGCTAGCTAGAATTAAACATCTCAGCTAGAGCATGGACAGGGCACCAGCCAGCTTGCTAAAAATAGATTAATCCTAATTACAGCCACACTTCTGCTTTTTCAAGGTTTCCCGTTTCACGTGGGGACGCAGAGGCTGTGAATGGAGAGGGGGATCGGTGCCCACTGCGGCAGGAGAGGGGACGGGGGGCGCGTGCCGCCCGTTATTGCGTAACCCCGGGAACACGCCGTCCTCCGGGGGGAGCGACGGGAGTGATGGGAGCGACGGGAGTGACGGCAGCGTCCCGCCTCGCCAGCCTTTGGCTGCCCGGCTCCAGCCGATCGGCGCAGGCTTAACTCGGCGACCAGCCCTGGAAATCTGCTCTCCCCAGTTAGCAAAACCAGACTAAACGGCCGGAAAACGGGGTTTCAGGTAATGTGTGCTTTGCTGGTTAAAGATTTAAGCATCACCACCTTCCTACCGGCTCCCTGCACCGCCGCTGGCAGCCGCGGGGGAGCTCGGCCCTGTGCCAGAGCTGCCCAGCATGGTTAAACCCCCCCGGGGCAGTGCCGTGCGCCAGTATGTCCCGTAGGAACTGCCATAAATCCCTACTGGTTTTATTTCCTCCTGGACGACATTCACACAGAGAGCTGACTTACGATCTCATAAGCAGAATTACAAAATGTTTAGTATGAAATAAACATATTTAAGCCTCTGCTTTCAGATTACGGTAGTTTATTTCTCCCGTAAAGCCTATAAACTGTGGAAAACAACTATTTTCCCACCCTAAAGGATGTGTATTAATTACCAATTTAAATATTTAGCCAGAAAATTTATCGCTTCAGCTATAATAACTTAGTTTTGTTTTATCAGAAACCAGGAGTTAATGCTATGTTTTTTCCTTTCGTTTCGGTAGCAGTAATCACTAGGTAAGCACAAGGGCCCCTCTGCTTGAGATGGATCTCGGCTGCACACATCGCTGCTGCTGCTGCTGCTGCTGCTGCTGCTGCTGCTGCTGCAAAAAACAGCCAGCGACTGAAAGACCTTCTAGCCGGTAAAACAAAGGAAAAATTCATCAAACACTCCTTCAGTATCTTGGATTTACGTAACTGAGGAACAACTCTCCTGCAAATACAGGGGGAACAGCACGGATTTCATTTAAAGTGATGGACTGAGCCTGTTTGGATGTTTCAGAAAAAAATAAAACGAGTCCCGATGAACGTTAGAACACAGCCATCACAAAGGGCAGGATCTGAAACGCCGACAGCATCGCGTCCAGGGCTGTCAGCCTGGCAGGCTGCACTGCGTGGTGGTACGGTTTTGGACTCTCTGGGTGGCACGGTGCTGGTCAGATGCCTCCCCCCAGGAACAGTGACGCTTACAGCCCGGCTGAGCGGCGCTCGGAGGAAAGGGGAGTTAGGAAGAGGGTATCTCTCTGGAAAATACCTTCTTAGCTTTGAGCAGGACTGCCACTTCAGTAAATAGTATTTTTACTTACAGCTCATCAGAAAAGATTTCGTTTTACATTTTTGAGATTCATTTGCCCTCTGCACTGAAAGGCAGATCCAGGATTTGGGGCTTGCTTTTTGTATTTTTAATTAAAGGAGAAAGACGCACTGCAGAACAGCTGGTACCTTTGGGCTGACGGGCACTCACCTGGGCTGACAGAAATTCGCCTGCACATCCCTGCTTTGATCTCCACAGAAGGCAGTCCTGTGGCTCAAGCCTCCCATATCCCAGCTGAGTTTGTAGCAGAGATTTTGGCTGTCCCGCTGTCCCGCTTGTCAGTCTTGCTGTCACCTCCCAACTCCCCGGAGTTACACCCTGGGTACAAGAAAATCTCCCATTAGAAGTTTCACCAACCTTAATATGACAAAGCAATATTTTCCAATTGGGAAATGAATAAACAGGGAAAAATTTGTTTAGACATTCCTAAGCAGCTTTCTTAGCATTACTGTGCCACCAGCAGACCGCATCCGAGAGCGGACCTCCTCCTTTTCCCCACTGCTTTACGGGATGCACCTATAGAAAGGTAGCGACGCTGCGTGTGTGCAGGGAGGCTTGGCCGTGACTTAGAAACACCTATGGATACGAGGGCACATCTCACTGAATGCATGTGTCTGCCAGCCCCTGCCTGGAGTGACTGCTTTTATAAGCATAGCGAGGGATTGGGAAATCTGCTGTGATTCATACGAATCGCTTCAGTCCCCACTCCCACCCCCTGCACAGCACCCACGAGTGCCCGGGAGCTGCCAGACGCACGCAGAGCGAGCACCACGCCTGCCTGCAGCTCGTATCCCAGAGTATTTAAAACTTGATACCACAAATTATTTGCCCTTTTGTGAACAATTCCTGAAATGCTTTTTATTTTTATTACTGAAAATTATCATATTCAGAGTGGTTTCATCAGCTCAGCTGAATAAACCGACACCGTCACTAACCGTGGCGTTCGCTGTTCCTGCTGGGTTTGGTGCTGGCAGGTCCTGGCTGAGGGTTATCTCTGCCTCTTGTCTCAGCCTTGAAACTGGGATTGTAAATTATTTTGGCCAGGGATAAACTGTCTTTGCTTGTACAGCACTGAGCCGCACTGGCCTCTGGGTCTCAGCTGAGGCTTCTAGATGCTTCTAAAAATAAGTAATTACAAGCTACTATCTTTTAAAAATACTTGCATAAAGGAGGGAGCGCGAGGAGTCTCCTTCCCCAGCTGTTTTCTCCTCAAACTGCCAAGAATTTTTTTTTTAAACCTTCTGAACTGTGTCTTTTTGGTCAGTTCTCTTCCGTAGCCTTTCATAAAACAAGGGTATGCAACAGTTTAAAAGTTAGGATGGGTATTTTGTACTTACATAGCAATAATAATTTGAAAACCACTAGTAAGTTCTAAAATCCAAGTGATTAACAAAATAAAAATTAATCTCAAAAATATTTTTATGCACGAGTTGATTACTCTTCCCAGCATGGAATTATTTTGCAAACAAATCTAAATTAGAGGTTGAGCTTTTCTTTTTTTTTTCCCCTAAGAAAAAACAGATATTGTCATTTTTCGAGATATTTTGGTTTTTTTCTTACTTGGCCAATTCTGATTAGTCACATTAGTCCCACTGTAAATTTTTTTTTTCTCTTTCCAGAATGGGAGACCTTTGTTTTGAGTGATTCCTTTGTATAATTCGTAAAGTAGAAAACAAAACACTAAACATTACAAAACAAAACAGATGAAAATACTTTCAGCTTTGCTCATGTTCCTGCCAACTATTTTCCTTTTAAAAAAAAAAAAACCCACACAAAACAGCTCCTTCTCAGCCCGTACAGGACCATATCGTTTTACTGCTTTAAAGGGGAAAGGAGAGCTGAGGATTAGCTCTCAGTCTGCTGGAAGGGCCTAAGAAATGGCAAGGACTGGTTTTAAGCCTCTAAGCCAACTTCTAATACTATTCCTCCCCCCCAGAAAACAAGGCAGTAAGAATATATTGTGATGAAGGTACAAACTTTTAAGACTTCTTTAAATACCTATTTTGAACAGCACACCAAAGCCATATTATTAAGAGATTAATAGCGTGAAGACAATTTATTTGCCCATTGACTGCGCTGGAGACGAGCCTCCGCTCTTTAGATCCGTTCCCACAATGTCACTTTTCATTCCCTAGGGCTGGACCATCAAAATGACGGATGCAATACTTCAAAAGCCAAGAGTGGTATTTCCAGCAGGCCCTTTTACCTCCATTGATACCTGTGCACGTGCAGTTTCTCTCTTTGGGAGACAGTAACAGCTTGTGCACGGTAACACGCAGAGATCAGCCTGGCAGAACTGCCCTCCAGCCGTCCAGTGCTGCAGGTTACTGTGACAGAGAAATAGCAGCATCCCAAAGCGATTTCATGGAGATCCAAAACCACCTGTGAGTAACGGCTCTGCTTGGGGTAGAAACTTTTTTTTTTCTTCTTTTATTTTCACTCCAGGCTTCATTTGTCCCTTTGTTTGCCTGGGAGGTTTTCACCAAGTCCTGAAGACGGTCACGTTCTGGGGATGCTCGGAACTGTTGCATGGCTGGCTGGTCCATCAGAGCCTGTATCAGCTCCAGCCCTCCGGTCCAGCTGAAGATATCTACTTGGCCTCCAAGATGAAATGACAGTCTAGAGGTGAGGTGCGTGCCTGACTGAGAATTCCTCTTAAATATTCAGAGCGTGAAAGCTCAGAAAAATCAGAGCTTATGTAAGGCCTTAAAATTTGGGGGGCACCAATAAGTAATAAGTAACAGGTCACAGGGCTGAGACGGGCTCCTTCTGCCAGAGTCTTGCAGGAGGCTGCCTTACCCCAATTCCATCCCTGAGGCTGTTGCACACAATGATTTCTCTTCGGGAAGTTTCGGGAAGTTTAACCTACAAACTCGGGGCTGGGTGGGGACTCGGGGAGTTGTGGTGGCCGCCACTCCAGCTTTCACTGTCTCAGGTGCGCGCAAAATGACGTGGGATGTTGTGCTTCATGCGACACTGGCCCAAGTTAACCCGTAGCCCTATTTTCCATCTGTAACCATGGCAACCTGAGTTATCTTGCAGAGGTACCTGTCACCCTGTGGTAGTAACACCCTGCTTGTCACAGCCGAACCTACAGTCCCACCGCTGGGATTGTCCATGTGCACATCCCAGTGCCTGAAACTCTGGCAGAGGCCGAGTGGGAGGTGGGGAGAAGGCAGAGGAAGAGCAGGAAGGCCGGAGCAGTTCAGGCACAATCCCAGCTCTTGGCAATACAATCAGCTCCTTGGCAACGGGAGGAAGGTGTGTCAGGGTGGATGGGACACAAACACGCCGGCTCCAGCAACAGCTCCAGGAGAGAGGAGCATCACCACTAACGCGGCTCATCTAATTTTGCCATGGAGCACTTGAAAGGAGAATAAAGTAACAGCTGGAAAGAGCCGGAGGCCCGAGTGCGTTACACAGCAGCATGAGGGCCTTTGCTGTCCATTTTTATAAAATATTTTTCATACAACAGCATTGAGTTTAATTGTATTCAAGAGAAAGTTGCCTATACTGACCCTCTGCCTACATAGCAGTTTCTCATATGGAGAAGGAAGATGGCTGGTACCATGAAAGGAGAGAACAAATTTGGGGGTTGGACTAGATGATCTTTAAAGGTCCCTTCCGACCCAAACCATTCTGTGATTCTGTGATTCTAAATGCCTCGGCCATTTAGACTATCTTGCAGGATTTCACGGTTGCCACTCTTCAGGAGGTACTGTCCATCTACTTGATCAGAGCAACTGTTATCCCTCAAAAGAGGAACAGGCCTTCAAATTTTCTGAGACCTAAATCATTAGAAAGGTTTTATAAGACTTTGCTGTCTTTTTTACAAGACACTGCTGCACTTGTACACTAAATTATCAGTGCTGAGAAGCTAAAGAGTTAAATCAGAACCAGAGAGATCCAACAGATTCACATAAAGTCTTTAAAATCAAGATAAGGGGAAGAGAGGAATCTATCTTAAGTAAGGAAAAAGACATGGATTCTAAAATTATTATTGAATGGATTCTTAGTAGTAATATTAGAAGAAAAGTCATTTCTAAGCAGTCAGTGACTGCTGAGCTGGCAGTCCTACACTGTAACTATGACAGTCCTGGTTGCACGGAGGCACCAAGACTTTAATTCCAATTAGTTTTACATTGAGTGTGTCACCTCTCACACGAAGGAGGACAGAAAACACATCTCTATTATTTTGTAAACATACAAACATGGTTTCCACACTCATTTCGGTATTGCACCATAGTACTAAAGAGGTTAGTTTCATCTCTGAGGAAAAGAATTGCATAGAGAAGTAAAGGCTGGTGCAAATGAGCTATCAGGAATTACCCACACGTGAACAGAGTTGCCCAGGAGATGCCACGGGCACCCAGTGACAGGCTGTGAACCATCAGGGACCAGCAGCCAAAGCAGCGCATGGAGAACAGTGTGCGTGAGGAACGAAAAAGCGAGATGTCGGTGGATGGTGGTAATTCTGCTTCCCCGTGCAATGACACGAAGAATTGCTGCATGGTTTGGGGTGGGAAGGGAAGCTGTGATTCCAACAGCAGCACATGCATTAACCTTGCTGCTCTGTGCTGATCAGTTTTCCTACAGTCCCCAACCGAATATAACCCAGTAATAGAGCTTTTCTCCTTTTGAAAATGCTGTCTGGTGTTTCTGCTCACATTTGTAGGATGTTTAGTTTTCGAAGAGGTACATCTATGGCAGGGTAAAAGGTCCAGGATATTCATTAGAATTCAAGAGTCTGTGAAATGAGAGCTGGTGCAAGAAAGTGTCTTCTGGCATTTAGGGTACCCCGTTTCAACCATCGATAGGGTGAGAAGAGAGGTGCTCAAGGGGAATACAGGGAAGCAGACTGGATATGACAGGTGAAAATAAGGCCATCAGATGTGCACATCAATAAGCCAAGAATGGCTGAGACCTAAATCCCAGTCTTCCCTCTGACACATGCTCTTTCATCAGGGCTACCTCCCGGGAGCTCCAGCGTCCCAGAGGGTTTGCTTTTCAGCCTCTCTCGTTAGCATTTTCCTCTGAGAGATGTAACAGACGCTTTCTGTAACGTCGTTCTGGAGATCTGCAGCTCTTTGCTGGAGATGGAGCATTTCTTCACCTCTCAACTGCAGGTAAAGGTGAAACATGTACGAGGTCACCGGCAGGAGAGTCCACGATGCCCCAGCTTGGCAGGTAAGCGTTTGGTTCTGCACAGCCTCGACACCGAACCCGCCACCCCCGGGGATGAAATCTGGGTTATATGAAGCCATTCCTGCCTCGAAACGGTGAGGTTAAAATGAGGTTGTCCAAGATGAGAGCTGCCTCGGGAGACCGATTCACTGCCTGCACCGAACTCTGAGTACAGGTGAAAACTGAAATGCTCGGTGCTCAAATATACATAGACACACAGGCCAGGATGCTGGGAGCTTCTTGAGCATTCAGTGTGTTTGCAAATGTTCTGGAAAATGAGTATGCAGTGAGCTGGCAATGTTTGGAGATGATACAAAATCAGTGAGGTGCATCCATGGTAAAACAGTGAGGAGTAAAGGAAGGATCTCATGATGTGCAGTGCTGGGGAAAAAATTAACTGATTAAATTCAGAATTTGTAGGTTCAGAGTGATAGGTTAAAAAAACCCCACCAAACCATAACTGAACATATTCAAGTGATGGATGTGGTGTTACTCAGAAGTTCACGGAGAGCTAGCTGCAGGATGTGGGAAGGAGTGCAGCTACCTGCCATGCCTGTATGCTCCTTCCCTGGGTGCTCCCTACCAGGCACCGTGAAAGGCAGGCTCCTGGCATGATGGATTTGCACAGTCCCAGCAGGGCAGGGCTAATTCTTATATTTGCATCATTCCATTTAAGTGACAAACTGTACCAAGCAGGCAGCGTGACGGTCCACAATCACAGAGCACTGTGAGACTGTAGGATGCCAGATAAACACACCAGAGAGAAGTTTTATGCTGTATCTAACCACAGTTCCTACTCATTTCACAGCCCAGTATAGCCAGCACTGAAAACTGCACAATTAAAGCATTTTTAAAGGGTGCAAAGCCTACATTATTCCTTCTATCAGTGCTGTATGAAAACGGCCAGCTGACCGGTATGCTGTGGAAGGGCCACCACATGAAAGTGGACCCAGGTAAGAAAGTACAGGACTGTAACAGAAATGCTAAATCATACTTTAAAGGCAGGTATTTCTTTTCCAGAATACTAATGTAATTCTTACAGCACAAAGAACAAAAGCTTCCTTCTGTAAATCCATTTCACAGAGACCACGAGATGGGGAAATCTATCGCGCTTAGGTAACTGGCATCGGAAGGAGCTGCTCTCAGTGGCCCAGCGTTAATGCATCAGTGAGCTTCGATGCTGGAGATTTAGTAATTCAGTAACGGGAGAGAATGGCAGTGATGGAGACCACTAAAACCAACACGCAGATGCCTCACAGCTTTGGACCATCGCAAAGAAAGAGACAGAAGGCATGTTCACAAGACCACACAAGTTTGTTTGAGATGGACCTACTGCCTTCTAATAGCATGGGGAAAAAAAACCACCCGACTTTCCATCTCCATGGTAACTCCTTCCTCCAAAGCACTTTTAATGCAATTTGTTTCCCGTTCCTCTAACTTCTTTGATGGCTTTAGAAGAGAGCAGTCAAGGCTGAAGTGCTGGTAACACACCTACAGCAGGACAGTAGATGAGAAACCATGTCTTTGTCTTTGACAGCAAGTGACGAGTTGAGCTTCTGTCCCCTCCAAGGAGATACCTGTGTTACCATCACTAAACTGGCTATGTGCAGAATGATTCCTGACTGCAGAAAAAAGCCAAAGGCAAATTCTCTGCAGAAGACAGCAGGAGAGGCTCAACACCGCTCCAGCCTCTCTCCTTGCAGGAGTTGGTACACGAGTTATACAAGTCACTTCTAGTAGAGGTCCCATCTCAGGATGGATCCCTATGTCTGTATTCCAAAGGGCCTTGGTTTGTGATGGTAATATTATTGTCGATAACTACCCATGCTGGCCTTTGCTGCTCTTAGCATCCACACACCCTTTCGTGTTACTTCTCTTTCCTGTTCACCTTAGAGGCTACCCAGGGTGAGAACCCAGAAGGGCCAGCCAGGGCAATGCCATCTTATAAAACCCTGCTCCAGTCTGACAGAGTGATACTATGAAAGGGAATTAGCCTGAGTACAAATATTCACTCAAATGGGCCATGAACGCAGCCGCAGGACACTTTGTTAGCAAGCGATAATGTAGGTAAGAAGCATTTTGTCAAATGGGCAGAACATGTCTGAGTGAAAGAAACTTTAGCCTCTTAAATATTGAAGTTCCAAAATTAAACCCTTGTTTATATAACGACTGGGTCACTGCTGCAGAACATGGGAGTTTGCAGCATTGTACCAAAAAAGGCCCTACGAAACGCAGACCTTCATATAGGGCACTGAGTCTCCCGCAGAAGCAGACTGCAGCGTGCTGCTGCTTGCCATGGGGGCTTTCTGCTCGGCTCTGTCTCTCCCAGGCCTCCCCCCCCCCATTCATGTCCCCACCTGATCCACCTGCTCAGCCGGCACCACGCTGTCTTGTGCAAGAATCGGGTGAGCTCCCATCCGCCGGCCGGGCTCTGCGCAGGTAGAGGGGGGGCGGCACCGGGGAGCCCCATGCAGCAAAGATGCTCACGGGTCGCTGGTGTCATTCGCCTCTGCAGGGAGAGGGATCCTGGTACCTGAAAGCAAAGGGCTGCTTTGAGACTTAACCCTGAAACTCAGATCCTCATCCTTGCTGCTGGGCGGATGGGGTGGAAAAGCAGGGGTGTCGCTGCTGGCTCCTAGCTAAGCGCGTTAAAAGTCCATCCTTGGCGTGTTTTCCAAAACTGTCCTTCCTTTGCGCTGTCCTCTTACACTGAACACGGTCAATTTGCAGGCCACGAGTTGGATTTTGTGGATTTAAACAATGATGCGAACTGTATTTTTTCTTTCCGGAACAAGGAATGAAACTGGTAGTGAAGACAAGTCTGCAGTCACTCCAGAAAACAGCCGCCTATCCCTGCTGCTTTAGGTTGGCTAGTTACAAATACCACCACAGCAAACCACAAGTAAGAAAATTTACTCACAAAATATAGAAAATATAACTTTATGGCGCTTCCCTACTGCAGAGTATCTTTAAAAAGCCTTCTACAAAGCCTTTTACCACATTACCTTTTACCACACACCTTTATTTATTATTTTTTAAGAAAAGAGCATAAAAGAACTTAATCCAAACTAAATATTTAACCAAATAGCAATTAACTAACAATGATGAATGGTAAACAGTCCTAGTCCCACGCTAAACTGGAACTTTAAAGCCCGTTTATCTAAGCTAAAGCTGCTCAAGGGGAAAGGCAAGTTTATTGAGTAAACTTTGTCTCAGCCACCTCGCTATTAAAACAGTCTACAAACAGAAACTACATCGTATATTCTGTGAGAGGGAAAAAAAAAGGGAGCAAGAACATAACAATCCATCGCATGGAAGTTACAGTGCTATATGGAGCAATTATCCCTAAATATAAAAGCAGAGACAAGACGAAGCTGTAAAGCTGCCGCTTCCAACTGCCGTGGCCTTGTGTTAAAATAGAAATAAGCGAGGGACCCCTGAAATTCCACCCGTTGTTCCCATTTGGCCCAGGACAGTCGTTCCCACGTACCCACCAGGAAGGAGCGAGCCTGGGCAGAGCTGCCCAAGGTTTTATTCACATGGACCCCTTTGTTGAAGTGTAACGGAATTAGCTGCAGCTGCTTCTCATTATTATTATTAATAATAATAATTATTATTATTATGATGTCTATCATATCAAATTTCAAAGACCCCAAAATATTTCAAGGTGCTTAAAAGAAACCTCATCAAATCAAAATAGCCAGACTTCCTACTATTACAGCGTTTGGACAGTATGGTTCCCCTTGGAGAACTAAACCAGA